CCGCGCCCCGGGGCCCCGGGGCAGTGGGGCGGGGGGGGGGGGGGGGGCAGTGGGGCCCAAGCAGCCTGGAGCTCTGCCAGCCTGCAGGAGGTTAGCCACGGTTCCCCACGTTTTTCTCCTGTAAAGGGGAATCCATTTTTAAAGTTTGTTCCAAACCCTTTCGTATATTCTTGCAATGCACTTTTGTGTTGTGACCCACTGATTGAGATACATTGCTTTAGGTCCAGAAGGACAACTGAAATCATGCCCATCAGCAGCAGCCCTTTGCCTGCCTCCCCTCGGATTTGACCCTGCCACATATCATTAGATTATGCAGCTTGCCAGCATGTATGTGTTGCTCATAGGCATTTCTACTAACCTATTTTTTCAACTGATAAGTGACTGCTGCTTTGTGGTGCTTCATTCATCTTTTGTTCTTTGATATTGTTGGAGAGGCAACATGCTGCAGACCTTTCATTGTGCCAAAATGAAAACACTGGCTGTAGTTTTTTTTTTTAAATCTTTGATTAAATAATTTCCAACATGGAAAAGATGCTCTGTATTCTCAATGACCTCTCTCAAATCAGTAATGTTTTTAGTAGAAAAATATATATTCAGAAGAAAACTTAATGCCATAGGCCCAGACTTCACAACCTTTTGGCTGACTGAGGAAACCTCAGCTGGCATAGAAGAGTAAATAAACAATATCAAGAAGAGGCCAAATTCAGACCATGGCCTGTTTGTTCTGCTCCCAAAATAAATAGCAAAAACTTCAGTGGAACCCAGGAATCACTGAGCCCAATTGGGACAAGATACTTGGTGACACTTCACTGAGATGTAGCTTCACTGACTTCAGAGGAATCAAGTGGTTCTGAATGGGATTCTAAATTTTACTTTCTTTAAAAAAAAAATGTGAGAAAGAGCACTCGCCTGAATCATGCACCAGATGTAGCATGTGCCACCACTGCATCTTCTCTTCTGTACGGTAGGATTAGGGGTGATGTGGTTGGTACCTAGGACACTCAAAACTGTAGAAAGGCTGGTGATGGTTGGGTTATAAAGGGTCTGACTCAGAAGCTTTGGAGTCTAAGTGGAGAGGACTCTTTTCCCATGTTTCTTTCAGAAATCCTCTGTAGAATGCCATAGGGTATGGAGGATCACTTCGTCTTCACTATTCAAACTTACCTTTTCACGAGGACACTAATGCATGAAGGAGGAGGAGAAACCATTTAAAGGGATTGCTTCCTTACTTGTCCAGTCTGACCTTGTACCTTTATTCCACTACTAGCGAATTGCCTGTCAAGAATGACGGGGTAGGCGGGGATGAAGCGCCACCACCCTGTGCTGCTGCCACTTCTCAGGAGTGGGGGAGGGGAGGAAGCTGGCATGCCACTACCCCGCGCTGCTGCTGCTCCATGTCCGGCCATGCTCTCCCCTGCTCTGCGTCTGGCCCCGCACCCCCGCTGCCACCTACCACCCCATACTGCCCCCACTCCGCATCCGGCTGCGTGCAGCCCAGCTCCCCCACTCTGCTTCCACCTGGCCAACTCCACTGGAGCCACGACCCACCTGTCATTCTTGATGGGCATTCTTGACACAGCACTGGGGAGAGCCACGCCCCCAAAAGCATTACAGACAGACAGACTAAGCCCTTATATATCGAGCTAGCCAATTGCCCATCAGGAATGATGGGGGGGAGGGAGCGTGCTGAGATGGAGTGCTGCCACCTAGCGCCCCATGCTGCTGCTGTTCTGCCTCTTGCAGGGAGCAGACTGGAGAGCCAAGGTCAGCCTCAGCTCTACCACCCTCTGTCCCGTAGTCGGCGCAGCTTTGGAATCATTGTGGTGCTCCCCCACACGTGGAGCACTCTGATTGGGTGTTTCCGTCAGCCAATCGGAGTGCGAATAAAGCCTTAAGAACAGACAGTCTTAGGCTTTTATAATATTAAATTTTTCCAGCAGGAAGAGTGGTGACTGGGCAGCACTGGGACCTTCTGTGTTTCCACATTTTCACTAACTTGCAGTGGTTTTGCCTCTTTCTCCATACTAGGGGGGGCTAGCACATTAAGCCTAAATAAATATGATCTTTAAAAATACACATGCAGGAAAAAAATTGGTTTTAGTTAAAATAGTGAATATTATTATCGTGTTTAAGAGGAATCCATACCACAAATCAATTTCAGCCTCGTTTAATCAATTTTATGGAAAGCACTTTTGGTCTAAGGGTCACATGGAGTAGGCCCTGAATTGTGTCAAGATTTAACTATTCTGAATATAAATGGTAAACTAAAGTTATATTTACAGGTAGTATTGAATTATTATAACCTAAATCCAAAACAGGAAGTTTGAACAGCTAATCTTTGTTATAACCGTAACAGTTCGTTTTAACTCCTAAGTATTTTACAAATATTATACAGTGAGGTTGGCAGATAAATATTATTGTTCCAATTTTATAAATGCAGAAACTGAAATAAAGATGGTAGGAGGAACTGCATAAAACCAATGGGGGTATAAAGATCTCCCTCCCTAGGAGTCTTTTGAACATTCAGGACCAAATCAAATTTTAAGTAACTCTTTAAAAAGTTGTTCATTTGTGGAATCCTTTTGCTGTGTTTTCCATAAAGAATTTTCTATAATATCAAAACAGAAATTTTATACTAAAATATATTTTACCTTTTCTTTTTGCATCATCGTTAAGTAAGTTGCCAAAAGCCAAGCAATGAGTCAGTAGATGAGTCAGAATTGAACTTTTTCAATCCCTTATTTACAGTTCTGTTCACAACCTGGTAGACCATGGGTTCTTAAGCTAGCTAGGAGACTGTAACCAAGATTTAGAAGAATGTATTACCCTGCATTTCATTATGGCTGGATAGAATAGAGAGCTCCAAAAATAATGAGACTGGATGTTCCTGATACTACTTACTCTTGCAACATGGGGTCACAGTGTAACAAAGGTAAAGAACCTCTACATTAGTCTTCATTTCTCTTATCTTTATACAGTATTGTCTTTTATTGTCTGTTTCCAACTTCACTATCATTTCCTTTATCAAGTCTCTTTCAGAGGAGGTTGGCTTTTGACATGATACCCTGTTTTTAAGACCCATTGTGGTATTTGCCTTTTTAAATGAATATTTAATATACACATTTTCAAACTCATTGTTTCATTATTTATGTCCTTGTACTCCTGTGGATCATATTGCTATTTCCTGCAAAGAACACTCAAAGGTATGAGCAAAGGCAGGGCACATATCACATCTCAGTCTTGGCAGAAAGCAGTTTGTGTGAAACACAAAGCTCTGGATTCTGATTGCTTTAATAAGCTGCGGAGAGCAGTTTGAGGCAGGTCTGTTATATGTATGAACAGAAAATTAAATCAGATTTCAGCTTTTAAGCAAATTATCTTGAATTCCATAGTTAAAACATAGTTAATTGTATCTGGGAAATTTACCATGGTAAAAGACAATTGGATTACTGGGAGTTCCACAGTGAATTTATGCAAAGCTGTGTGGGGAAAATCCTGAGCAGAAGTGAAAGAAAGAATATTACTGAAGCTCACAACTGCCCTCACATATGTCTCAGATATCTGCTACTTTTGAACAGGCAGAATTCTGACACTTTATGAATGGTGCCAGATGAGGAAAAAGTCTATGAAGGTTAGATTCGGGTAAAAGATACCACAGGCATGAAGCAATTGCCATTACCTCTTTTTCTTGTGACATTAATGTAAGAAGTGCCAGGTTTGAGAGAGAGAAATTGTCTAGAATGTCATTGTATACAGGTACTACTGGAACAAGCAGATAAATATGACTGGACTCTCCATCTCGTGGTCTGTTCAGATATCCAAACTTTTCAAATGGATTAAGCCTATTACTAGCGCTAAAGTAATGAGGGTGAACCTTTTTCTCAGATGTGCCACAAACTGGCCCTGTACCCTTCCCAAGTACCACTCTGGTCCTCTGTTGCCCAACCTCCTGCTCTGCTTCCTGCTCCCTACCTCTGTGCTGTAGCATACAGGAGGCTGGGATTTCAGGGATTCTATTAGAATGATGGACCTTTCAGGAGTGGGGTAAAGAAAATGCATCAAGTTCTTTGAAAGCTTTTTTTAATAGTCTGTGAGGTTCTCAACAACGCTAAAAAATGCATTATATCTGACTTCTCATAATCCCTTTCCATAAATTTCAAGGCAAAGGTATTGTACTGTATAAATAACGTAGGGTAAATAAATTATATGTTATCTGGCATCCCCAGGAATGTGGGATGCCAGATAACAAAATATACCGGTTAATTGAGCATGCTGAAAAGGCATCCTTGATTATTAAGGCCACTGCTTTTCCCATTGCGTCCTGGGTGTTGCCGACCCTCCTGCGGGACAGGGAGGAAGACCCCGCGCAGCCAGTTATGGCCCTGGGCCATGGGGGCTCGGAGAAACTGGACATGCCACAGTGGGCACTTCTGATTTCACATTACCTTACAAGCTGGCATGCCAGTTAACAATTCTGTTCTTTTCTAGGGTTAAGGCAGGGCTGCCCAACCTTTTTGAATGTGGGGCCGGACGGATCATGGAACTTCTTATCACCCAGTGGGCTGGCAGGAGCGGGCGCTTGCACAGCCTGTCCAGTCTGGCTGCAGCCTGGGGGCAAGGGGTGCCGCCTGACCCCACCGTGTCCTCCCTGCCACCTGGGCGGCCTCGAGGATGTTCCCACACCTGCGCACCTGGGCTCAGCAGCCAGGGGGACATGTGGGGACTCTACAAGGGGGGGGTGTGCAGGGACACCCCTCTGCTCCCTCTCCCCCGGGGCAGCCCGAGCCCAAGTGGCAGGGGTCCCTCCCTCCCTGGGGCCTGCGGCTCACCACCCCCAGCGCGATGTCTGCGGGCACGGGGGGATGCAGGGAGGCAGAAGTGGCACCGGCTTCCCGCCCCGACAGCCACGGCAGCAGCATCTCCCGCAGGCCGGCCAAAGCATCCCTGCACGCCGGCATCCGCGACCCCTGCGCCTGCCCTCCCACTGCACTGCGACCTGCTCCAGCCCACGCAGCCGGCAGGGAGTGACGCAGGGCAGGGCCGGCATGCAAATGAGGAAGGGAGGGGTGGGGCCAGGAAGGGACACAGTGAAATGAGGGGGGAGGGGAGGAGCTGCACTGCGTCGGCAACGTCAAGCTGATGCGGTGCGTGTGGGAACCTTGTCCCTTCCTCAGCCCTTCAGCAGCCATTAGGAAGCTGCTAAGGGGCTGGGGGAGGGACAAGGGGTTCCCGTGACAGCACCGTGGGCCACAGAAAATGGCTTGGTGGGCCGCATGTTGGACAAGCCTGGGTTAAGGGATGAAGGTGAGAATATAGGTAATGATTGAAATTGGAATTAATTCAGTTACTGATCAGATAATTGGTTGTAGCTGTATAGCTTTTTAAAAACCTAAATAGTAAGAATTAAATATTAGGCCAAGTCAGTGCTTGGGACTTTTGCTTGCTTAGCAACGTTGGGCAAAGGTTTTATATTTTTTATTGCAACATTTTTTATGATGGCCAAAGCCATAGTGTGTACACAGTTACACAGACATAAAATTATTTTTGCCAGTACAGTTTATTTCACTGCCAGAACTCACATAAGTTACACTAGCAAAGCATTATGTTAGTATAGCAAATAAAAGCTGCACCTATCAAGAGCGTTTTGCTGTTATTGCTATTCTAGCAATATTTTTACATTTAGACTAGTCTTTATTTAAAAAAAAAAAGTTTTGGAGCTTTCTTCAAAGCATAGTAATGCCATCCACTTACCTAGCATTTCAACTGTGGACCTGTAAGCAACCTAATAAAGCTGGGGTTGTGTTATTTTAATCCTTTTTTAAAACAGATGAAAATACTAAATATTAGGTGCACCTGCCCAAAGACTTGCAGTGAATTAACAGTAGTCAGGATAATAGTCCAGGTTTCCAAGTGCCCAGGTTTCTGAGTGGCTTATTAGCTTAGGAAATTCTCTCATTTGAGAAGTTATATGCATTGTTCTGACGACTGAAATATTCCTTTATCTGAAATGTAGTGAAAAACTTTTTCTTGTTACTTGGGTCATTTTGTTGATGTTAATAGCCGACTATTATCAAAAAAATGAACTGCTAATGAACTGCTAACATGAACACTGTGTATTCTGATAAGTATTAGGATGCTGGAGGGAAATTGAAAATCCTGGCTCCATTCACTTCAGAGTCAATGGTAAATCTTCCATTGACTTCAGTGGGGCAGGACTGCATAACATGTTGTTATATCCAGTTTTCATAGCATCTAAGCTTCCATTAACACAGGTTCTAGGTTTTTCTATTGCCAAGAGAATCTTGAAATCGGCTCACTTGTCTTCTTTTATCCAGCTTTGCAGCTGTCAGCTGAACATTAGCAAAAGCAAGGGGTGTGAGCTGTACCTGAGTGAGCTGTGAACTTTGCCTTTGACTCGGTTCTGAGAAGTGTTAATTTCTGCACTTCAGTTTAAGAATATTAAGCACTAACCTTATAATGTGTAGGGGCAGCTCTGGAAATTCTTCAGTAGAAGTAATATGCGCTATGCATATAACAAGTGCTTTCAGAACTGGGCTCCATGAAAAGCTTGCACTAATTTAATTTAGATTTCAGATTTTCAGCTAATTTAGTTAAATCCATGCAAACCTTTGTGTAGACACTCTTTTCAATTTCAGAGTAGTTCATTTTATTTCGGGAGCGTAGGAATGGAAAAGGCCTCCTACATCAAACCTAATCCCCTACAGACACTGCGTCATAGAATCCCTTTCATAATAATCAAGCTACATCTCCAAAGGAGCAAGGTTTTTGCTCCCACTGCTCCATATGGAAGCCTACTTCAGAACCCCACTGCTCTATTGGTTAGAAATCTTATTTTAACAATCAGCCTAAATGTATTTGTAGCCCATTTATACCAGGAGGGCTGGCAGTGTGGCATCTTATAGACTAACTTGTTCAGAGACCAATGAGCTTTTGTAGGCAGCAGACTTCACCAGTTGCTATGAATGGACTTGCAGAGAGCCAGAACAGTAGGTAGAAGGGAGTAAAGTCATTTTTATACAATGGATAGGGAAAGAGGGAAAAAAGGAGGGAATGCTACAGAAAGGTGAAGGTGGGTTGAAGAGATTAAAAGGGATAAACAAAGACATTATTCTGAGTGCTTGAACCAGTTCTGAGGCTCTGAATGCCTGGCTCCCCCAGTATTTTGAGTCTTGATCAAGATTCCTCTGTTGTCCTTTGGCTGACTGGCAAACATTAAGGTCTGGGGACAGGAATCAAAAATATTGTAGCCTAGGCTAGAAATTTGCAAGAACTGTTTCTGAAACCCTTCCCCATGGGTACAGGTTGTGGTTCAGCTGACTTACAGACTTCTTTGATCCTTAGAAATGCATGAGGTAATCTGTGAAAATTTTGACTCTGCCCAAGTATAGTATTTCAAGTGACCTGTATCTCTGATGAGGACTCATATTTTATGGGAGTGGATTCATCCCATTCTCCCTAGTTATTTTTGGTTATCACAAGTAAGCATCTTCCAGTGTAGGAGAGAATTTATTTCTTACAATGAATGGTTTAAAAATTGGTTGATTGAAGAGAGAGCCTGCCTATGTGTCAAAGGATTGAGTTTATTTTGTTTACATCATGCTTCAGATTGTAATCTTCATTTAATGAAATTGTTAATCAGTGGCATTTTTCTGTCTGATTAACTAGTTACAGATATTGGCACATTTAAATAACTGGAATTTAACTGCTTGGAAAAAGGAGAACTAGAATTACTTGTATTCCTGAATTGCCTCCGCTTGGCATCAAAGTAGATTCTCGTAATCCACGTTATAAGTGCTGAGACATTTTATATTTGTAAGTAGGAAAGAGACAACATAAAGAAATATAGAACACCAAGGTCTGACAACTTCCTGGAGTTTGAACTAACAGAACATTTTTATTCTTTGGCTGTTGGGCTATAAACTTGGTCTATGATGTTGGTATTGCAAATTTGTTCACCATTTTATAAATGTGAGTGGTCTGAAGTATCCACTTGAAAGTACTGACAAAAATTGGTTGCTTTGTGGAGTTCTAATTAATGTGCGAGAGAATTTTACTCCATCTTTGATTCTTAGAAATGCATGATGTGATCTCTGGAAATTATTGACTCAGCCTAAGTATAATCTTTCTAGTGACCTGTATCCCTAATGAGATTTAAGATTTAATTGGTAAGAGGCTCCTTTTTGATTGGTAGTTGTTTGACAGTGTTGGTACAAGGGTTTCATTTATTTCAGTACTATACATTGTTGATAATGCGCATCTTGTTTCTCTTCCTGAATTTTAGGTTTGTCCAGTTCACATTGTGACTGCCACATATATTCAGAATACCAATCAGGCCATAATATTTGGATATTACAGTTTCTAAACTACGATGCCTTTCAAAAACGGGGTGGAATTAACTGAGTTGCAGAATATGAAGGTCCCTGAAGATGATAACATCAGCAATGATTCAAATGACTCTACAGAGGTAGAAAATGGCCAGATAAATAGGTGAGTATTTTTCCACTGATACTGTCTGTCCTGTGAACACACTGTTTAAAAACAGTATTCTAATTTTCGGTATAGGTCTTGAATTATTCATTACCAAGTCATGCTCCATTTGAAGATGTAATTTGAATTTCATATGTGACATCTGTTGGGCAAAGGCGGCAACAGCAGATAAAGCAAACAGACTAACAATTTATTCATCCTTTTGAATCCTTCAAATGAGTCCAATAAAATGCATAAACATATAGTACATCAAAAAGCCAACATTTCAGAATGTCTGCTTCTACTGTGCAGAAATAATAACAATAATAATTAGAACAAGACACATTTTGACAAAAGATTTTCACTGTCATTTATTCCACAAATGGAGGATTGTAACCTTACTGGCCATGTCCATGTAGTTTAGACTTCTGTGAATTTGTAACTTGCATTAATAACAATAAATGTAGATTCAGGTTATATTTTAAAAAGTACAAGTGGGAGTATATCCAAAACCATTACTCCTAAGATTATAATAGGAAAAACCCTAATAGATTATATATTTTAGAAAATTCAGCAGAGGTTTACATCTAAAGCTTGTATTTAAACTTCAAAAAAAAATTCTCTTTTGAGTAATTAAAGTAAAATATCCTCGCATAATTACATTACTATTATTAAATTTAGCTCTAAAATAATGTTAAGGGTTTTTTATTATTTTAGTAAAGATGAGTAATGCCATGCCCTTCATAATTATTGCAAAGTACTATAGAGAGGTGTTCAGTTGGGTTTTGAACAGAAGCTGGAATTACTGAAGGATTCTACCTTTATCCTGCTCAGTGATTTTTCTGCTGCAAAGAGCTAGCTTCCTGCGAAACTTTCATTCAGTTTTGAAAAACAGAAGCAAAAGTAGCTGGACCAAAGCCAGCCCTCATGCTCTTCCTGCATGGGACCAGATGACCTTTGGCATCTAGGCTGGTGATTTTGGTTCATGTCCCAATGTAAATATTAAATTGAGTGCTACCTAATAGTACCAGTTTAGGATGCCACCCAGAGGCAAGGCGATCCAGGCTAGCCTTTACTCCTGAACATAGATAGCACTTGCTATCATGAGCAGTTGTATTGACAGATAATGAGTAACAAATGTTTCGATGGACTTCTAGGCTGTGTCCACACATGTAGGCATGTGTGGTTTGTGACGCCACAAACTGCATGCATTGAACATTAAACCATGTGTACCACTGCTGATCTGTGGTGTTGAGGCAAAACTTGCTACTGGGATTCCTGCCCTGAAGCACATGGAAACGGGGCAGAAGGCAACCATGGACTTCAGTTTAGAAATATAGAACTTTGATTTAAAAATGCAGAAGTATAGCCTGCAATAACTTTTGATGTGCTGAAGTAATACACAGTTTAATTTGGAGCTTATTACACATAGGTAAATTAGAACTGTATGTCCCCAGCCTGCAGATGTTAGTTCATCTAACAACTTCAGACTGTGAAACTGTAGGGTGCATCTACACATTGCCCTACGGCAACGTAGTGATGCTCTATGTCGCTATATGGCGTGGTACAGAGATGTAGTGATCATGTGAATCTACACGTGATCAGCAGGTATGTGGCTGTAGGGGTGTGCTTCCCCATTTTAGCATGCTGCTATGGTGACATAGCAAGAAAATCTAACCGTGTGCTGTGCAGTATGGGAGGTTACTGCGCCATGCTTTAGTACTTCCAAGAGGAATTACTAAATCACAGCAACATGTAGACATGCCCATAGTCAGGTTTTTAAGTCAAGTCACGCTCTTTGTTCATTTCGCTTGCTTGTTATATTAAATAATGACTGCTTGAATTTACCTAAAACAAAAGGGATCTTTCAAAGAGGATTAAATTAAAGTTAAAAATCAAATATTCAGAATAACTGATGCAAGAGCTGGAGTCCAGAGACCCATCTGTAAGCTAACAAAGAGGTTAGGAGTCTCACTTTACACAGACCTACAGAAGCTAAACCACCCAACAAGATTTACACAATCCAAAAGATTTCATCAGAGAAAGGAAGTAGGAGAAAATTACTGTAAGAGTTGTGCTCGTAACTCTAGAGTGGTGGACCTCAAAGGCAGTGGACAGATGCTTCTATCCTAATAGCAAGAGACTGTGCAGAAAGAAAAAGAAAATAGTGCAAGTGAGGTCTAAGGAAGACAGCTATATCACCCTGAAGAGCAGTTCTCTTGCTACTTTCCTGTGCTAACTAACAGTGAGCTAACTCCTTGGATTTACTAGGACCCTTTGTTATAAATCCAGTGGCCAGATTTTTGGCTAAAGCCTCAGAGTATGGAGTGCAGCTCAAGCTAGAGTTGTGCAGCCCTGCAACTTTGACCTGGGTAATTCAGTGCCAATTCCACCCCCTTAACTCAAGTTATTATTAGGGGCCTACTTAAATCAAGGTTTTGGGATTTTTGTAGAAACCATGAAAAACAGTAGTTTCCACGATCACTGCCAAAAAATGGTGTTTCCCACGATTTTGCGCAAAATGGCCTGGGGAGGGGTGGGGAGGGAAACTTATCAGAATACAAAGAAAGTGCTGCAATCCCTGCAGCCATAGAGCACATGATTTGAGAGGCTTAAGTAGCGACATTGGCTCGGTGGAGCTGCCAGTCAGGAAAGCAAAAAGGTTTCGGCACCATCTTTTAAGAAGTCAGATGCAATGTTGCAGTCTGAAGATAAGTGACTGGCCAATCAACAGCAAGGGGAGGGGCCACTGGAGCCCTTCAGCCAGTCAGCAGCGGAGGGGATGCTCACCACAAAATTGGCTTGTAGCCCATGAAAATCCCCTCATCTCATTGCAGGTTAGGTAGGTCCCTAGTGATTATTGGCTTCATTAGCACCACAGCCAGGCCCTTATCCCTCAGCCTCAACCCCTGTTAGGAGAAGGGAGTTTGGGTCACTGTAGGATGCTAGAACAAGTGTGCTGAACCCATCCTGGGCCCTGAGCCAGGGCCAGACCATGGGGCTTCTACTAGGGCAGATCTGCAGGATCAGTAGTTGGTAACAGGGACAGCAATGGCTTTGCAGTTCTGGGGTTGGGGGCAGCAGGGATCTGGAAGGAATGAGGATGTTTGATATTGGCAGGGCCAAGTAGTAGTAGGGGGAGGGGTGGGGGTGTCACACATCCCTTGCTCACCCCTGTGCTGCTGATGGCTATGTCCAGCAGGGCATGGGGACCCCAAATTTTGTAGTAGACCACATTCCCAACTTCCAGTAGCCCAGCAGGCTGGATGGAACAATACTGCAGGCCAAGTACAGCCCAAAGGCGTGTTTGATGGCCCTGCACTAGAGGGTGAGTCTCAATAAGATAAGCCTCTTGCGTTATACTGGCTTTGTGGTTAGGATCCTGGCTGCTACAACTTTTCCCTGCTTCTGCCTGCATCCCATCTGCAGTACAGGTGGTGTTCCTAGCTGCCTGTTGCAGCTCCTCACTGGCCTGCTGTGGGTGCAGACAAAGTCCCCACCTTTAGGAACACCTCAGACATGCCAACAAAGCCTCTATGTGCTGTAGTTGCTGACCTCCATTTTAAACAGCAATGAAATGGACCTCCTTTTACGTATCCACTATCTGTTTACAAAAATGAAATATATACTAGAATGTTATACATCCTTTTGCTAGGTAACATGTTCTCTCATTTCTTTTTAGCAAGTTTATTTCGGACCGGGAAAGCAGGAGAAGTCTGACAAACAGCCACTTGGAAAAAAAGAAGTGCGATGAATATGTAAGTCTCTTTCTCTGACTCTCAGTAAACTATATATTGTGCATATTTGAAGCATTTCACTTTGGTAATAAGTAGGGATCTGGGTTTTCTGTTTGCCATGGAAAACAGAAAAAAAATGCAACTTCCCCTTTTATCTGAGGAAAAATGTGGATTTTTCATTTTAATGGAGAAACATGCAGACTTTGCACTTTTGTAAAGAGCTCTCTGCAGGTTGGCAGAGTTGCAGCCTCCAAAGGGACGTGCGCGTGCGCGCACACACACCCCCACACACACCCTACCTGCCAGGCAGCCTGACAGCAGCTCCTACAGGTAAATCTGGCACTCTGGGGGGAGAAAAGGAAGAGAGGAAAGTGGGGGATTGAGGCCCCTATAGAGAGGGAGGGAGGGAGTTGGGCAGGGCTGGGGCTGCTGCTGCACTCTGCTACACTGCAGGGAGCTGGGGACCTAGGTGTCTGGTCTCATAGCCCCATATCCCTGGCAGCTGGGGGCCCCCTCTGGCAGGGCTGGGATGACTGGGGGTGGGGGGTGAGGGGCCTGGACCTGCATCATGGGTGAGCTAAGAAGGCAGGGGGAGCACTGATTTTTTTCCATGATAAAAAACCCAAAATCAAATACCAAAATGTTATAGTATTTAGAATTTATTGAGTGATTGAGGTACTGGTAGGCTTCCAAATTGCTTTAAAATGGTAAATATATCAATAAAACATTGTGTTCAGTTGATACCTATATGTATTACATACACATACATATATGGTGGTGTTTCATTTGAATTGCAGATTTTGAGTTTTTAATCAGAGAACGTGTGATTTTTTTTTTTTTTTGATTAAATTGGAGAAAACCAGGATTCCTGGTTATAAGAGATGCTGAAACAATTCCAGCTGAAACTACTGGGAGCAGCATATTCTTAGCACTTTTGAAAATCAGGTCCTGTTGTCTAGTTCAAACAAGAATTAATTCGGAGCAATGCTATGACTTGTGTTACGCAGCAGGTCAGACCAGGTTATTATGAAGGTTCTTCCTGGCCTTGTAATCTATCAGTCTGTGTTTTAACATGTGCCACAGACTTAGTAGAAATACTGAAAATATATAAGGGATGTATATGACTCGAGAGGTTATGTCCATTTGTCCCTTGCATAAGGCAGCAATCACAAAATGCTTGTAAAAAAAATCAGTGTTTTATTCTCTTTCAAATCTTGTACTGCATTTTTATATTGTATCATACTAAAAATGAATATTTGTATTTACTATAACAAGTATTAGTATTTGCATTTACTATAACAAGACTTGGAATTCAAAGCATAAATACACTCTACAATGTACACTAAGTTGTTTCTCATTTGTACTTTTTTTTTCTTTGTCTAGATTCCAGGAACAACCTCATTGGGAATGTCCGTCTTTAATCTCAGCAATGCCATTATGGGCAGTGGGATTTTAGGCCTTGCCTTTGCATTGGCCAACACAGGAATCCTCCTTTTTCTGTAAGTATTTGTGCACTTGACAGCAGAACTGAGCACATTTTCACTTTGAGTACAGAATATTTGCATTGAGAGTAAGTGAGATTGTTTCTGGCCATTCACGGTTCAGTGTGCTGGATTACCTAAGTAAATGGAGTACAGAAGTGCTGGCTTCCTAGACAGTAGGTGATACTCAGAGTACTGATTGAGGTATCTAAACATGGATTTAAGTTTAGATGCCTGGAAATTCAGAAATAAATGCATCACAGTTGTGAATACAAAGACAAGGGGTGTAATCCTGGAACCAGTAGGAGTTCTACCATTGACCATAGTACTACCGAGATTTCAGCCAGGTTCTACAAGTTAAATATGTGCTAAAAATAACGATTTTACACATCAGTTAAGATAAAATAGTGTCTACCTTTTTACACATTCGGTGATTTACAGATCTGTAACTCTCATCAGAAAGTGGTACCTCATTGCAGTACCTCTTATAACTAAGGGAGCAGAACTTGTCCATGTTATATTTGATTTACCTTATATTTATCCCATTTCTGCCCCCGCCCTAGAAAATGCAATCTAAACAAGTACATACCAAATTACAGTATACAAAGTAGAAAGCTGTAGGGGAAAGTTAGTAAATTAGATAATTCCCTGCTTAATCTGTAGTCCATTAGGCCCTCTCAGTCTGGGTGCAGTCTCACTCCTTTTCTCTATCTCTGCTCTGGGTCAGATGTCCAGCAGTGCAGTCCTTATTAAGATAGATGGTTGGGTTATGTTTATGTATTTAAAAAATGTGAACTGTTAGATATCAACTATTAAGAATTCAATGTTTTTCCCAAAGAAATCAGTGAAAGTTTTGCCTTTGCTGGGAGCAGCATCAAGAATCCAGATGCTTATAGTTTATTGATTACATAGCACAAAACTTCTAAAAAACAGTTCAAATTAAAATCCTTCAGCACATGTGTAATGTAATAATACTGCTTTACAAAGGAAGGATATGTGCAGTTTGCACCAAGAGTCCGTGATGGGACCTATGTTGAAAAACTCCACCCAAAGAGAAGCACTAAGAGAGACTGTCTCTTTCAAGGGTTATACTCAGCATCTTCTATAAGGTTCCACTGGTTGATGTGGAAAGGATAACTGTGACCAGTGGTTTTACTTAACTCTACCTCCGTAAGAGTGATTTATTTATTGATGAAGGTAGGGAGTAAGTAAATGCTGCTCATAGTATCAGTTCTTTGAATGGGCCATGCAGAGTGACGGAAGAGACTTCTTTGGTATAACCCCCAGTGGCAAAGCAAATTACAGTCCAGCCCAAAGCACAGTTTTTGCCCTAAAGCTTGCTTAAAGAACAGTAGGAGAGATAAAACTGAGAAATCTAAATTGTTCAAATGCACATCATGAAAATAAAAGATTTGGTTTTGAATTATGAGAGTTAAATCATTTCAGTGTGCTATGTCAAAGGCCTAAGAGCTGAAACAAATTAGACCTGCAGCTTGATTATAAAAAGAAATGTGGAGTGGAGTACTTGGCTTCATCAAAATAGAGGCAGTTGGTAAAGCAGGAGAACCTTGTGGTTTAAAAATGGATTGATGCCACTTTCTAGGAAATTAAGATGCGCAATGCTGTGTGACTTTGGATTCCAGAAGAAACATTTCTTTATAATGTGATTGATGCTAAAAAATCCATTGCGAATTATATATATTCCACTAATACTTGTGGGAGATGTTTCTGTGTATTAGGGGTACAATAGAGTATACCACAATATTTGAAGAAAACTCAATGTCAGTAGTGAGTCAGTCCCTTATTCTAAAGCAGTGATTCTCAACCTTTTTTGTGCCAGGACCCACTTGTAAACATTGGCCAGTTTTGACCCAGTAAATAGCTTAAATAGCAAGCAGCCCCCTGGCCCTGCCGGTGGTCCTCCCCCCCACAGTGTGGGGCAGGGGGTGGGTGAGTATGAGGCATGGGGGCCCCAAGCAGCCCCTTGCAGGCTGGAACTCTGCCAGTCCGCAAGGAAAAAGCAAATTTCCTATGTTTTGCTCCTTTAAAGGAAAATCCATTTTTAAAGTTTGTTCACAACCCCTTCATATAGTCTTGCGACCCACTTTTGGGTCATGACCCATGGGTTGAGAAACATTGTTTCTAAAGGACTTTGATTGACCTTGCACTGAGTACTCACTTTTGGGTCTTCATTTTCTTTTTAAGCATGCAAACAAAACTACTTAAGTACTCTATAACTAGGACTGAGTCTAGTGTAACCAAGGGTGGATCTGGGTGCTGGGGATAGAGGAGTGGTAGTTCAGTCACCCCTTTGACTGTGTAGTGCACATGCAGTGAGATCTCTACCTCCAAGACCCTTATACCTTTGAGCTCTCTGCTCCATCCTCCTTTTAAAAATTTTACATCCACTCCTGAGTGTAGTTAAACCCACGTTTCCAGTGTTAGTTACAGTAAGGCAAGTTACTGTTCACATGAGTGTGACATTAGAGGTTTGCACTGTATAAATACTGAGTGGTAAGACAGTACCAAATATAATACAGTGGAGCTAAGGCCTTAGTTTTGTGTGAGAGCCTAGTTTCACGACCTCTCTAAATCTACCAGAGAATTTGCAGACCAGATAAGGGTTCTGGGTAGAAATTTAGGTCATTTGATAATGGTTAGCAAGATGCAATGTCCTAAATATGATATTTTTTTTCAACATTTAAATTTTTTCTGTGCATAGCCAGTAAAAGGGGTAGGTAGGAAATCCATGAGATTGCCTTCCAGGATTTCCCTTCCTGAGAAAGAGAACATGCTGCAAAAGATGAGTCTAAATCTAAAACTTAAAATATGAAAAGGTAAGAATTGGTTCAGGATGTTTTGAACTCTTGCTGCTGAAGTGCTGACTTCACTACTTATATATCAAAGTACAATTGAAAGTGGCCAGAGCAATGGTTGCATCACTGATTTTTAATTAACTAGTGAAGTATTTCAAAGTTTCTATATGCTATTTGCAAATGTCTGTCTTGTATATACGTGGACAGAATAAAATTGCCCAATCTGAAGCCCATTGGAAAAAAGAGAAATCATTGCATCTTTACTCAGGGATTTTCTTTTCTTTTGAGTGTTTAGGTACCTGTCTATACTACAGCTGTAACCAAATCATGTACCTGGCTTTAAAGAGACTTTAAAAATTTAGTGTAGATGAGAAATAGCTGTCACAGGAACAGGATTCAAACTCCAGAACATTCCAAAGCATTAGGCCTATTTTATCCTGATTACACTCAGATCTCTAACTCTTGTCATAATTAGGCCAGGCCAAAGTCATAGGTGGGATCTAATTCAAGCACTTGGTTATTTCCACATAGATTTAAAGGAATTTTATTTGCAGTTGTTCCTTATACTGCACTGAGTTTTACATAATACCCCACAATTCTAATTGAGGCCTCTCTAGGTTTCTTCTTCCTGTTTCTGTTCTTAGTAAACTAGAACAACCTTTTCTGGGCCATTCATCAACACTTACAATGGTATTGAAATCATTAGCTCTACTAGGAAGCTGCTTACACTTCTAGTAAGTATACATTTTCTTGGAGAATTGAAAAGCGTGTCTCTGCTTATATTGCTGTAAAGGAACTAAAAAGGCAATTTTCTCATCTAAATAGGTCATACCAATGATACAAAAAAACAGAGAAGCTTTTAGTGGTCTTTGCTGGACCAGTCTTGCCCCAAGTACTGTGTAGATCTATGGAATGTTGTATAAAGTATTTGGCTAAGATAAATGTTAGCTACACTTTTTAAACTATAAAGAACAGAACTATTTTTCACCTAATTAATTGCCCACATTTAAGGGTGGATACTAATTTTTCTAGTCACACTTGTTGCTAGCTGGTTAATGGTTTCAGTTCTGTTAACATTGGTGCAGACAAATCTTTTAAAACTAAAGGTGAAGTAGTTCATGGCAAGCTGGTGAGTAAGAAGCAAGTTAGCATGGATAGAGCCTCCAAACCAGGCTTGTAGCTATGAAATATTAATGTGGCATCTGGAGCTCTGTGCTAAAAAATGGAATTGTTCAAAATGTTCCTGTTTCATGCGTTGCAGACAGTGTTAACCCCAATCCACCAGGGCATCCAACTCTTTTTTTTCTTCATTGTTGATGTACATATATACAGATCACATACAACAAATATATGTATTACATTCTAGATTTACAGCTTATTAGCAGATGATCAAAGGCAAGAACAAATTAATGTTACCATTGTATTTTGAATACAGGGAGATGCATATTGCATTTCCTGCTTTTAAGTAAAAATATTCCAAAGTATTTCCAAGCCTACTTTGAACTGGGTAGATTGTGATGCAGGAAAACCACATACTATGCCCCATACATATGTAGTAAAGCTGGAAAGGGAAAGTTATAGAGTTAAACACTCAGGGCAGATTTACATCCACAGCACTTCCATAACAGCTTAACAGCTTGACTTTGCTGGGATCATACCTGATTTACAGCAGCCAACTAAGGTCAGCACTGGGATTCAATAGTCTTAGCAAATGAAAGGCAAAATAAACAAAGCAGGAAATAATTATGGTGATAGTATTTGTGTAACTAAATGGTATAGGTAGGTATAGTGCTTTCCAGGTATAAAATAAGACAAGAGGCCCCACAGGAGTTGACAATCTAATATGGCTAATAACTACAAGCTGTGCCAAAGGAAGACTTTTTATACATGCCTGAAAGGAAGAAATCATCATGGCTGAAGAAGGCTATATGTTGATCAGCCCACAGACACCTTTAAAGAAGCTCTGCCCCTGAAGTTGCCATTGAAACAAGCTTTGCTCTGTCCAGGTTAAAAAGACAATGCTGAGATAATTTGTATGGCAGCACTGAGGAGGGGGGAAGGAGGGGCAAGTATGCAGTTAATACATCAACTCCACATATCCTCCAGTCACAAAATGCTGGCTTTTGCACTGCAGTGGGCCAATTACTAAGATTTGTTGAGGTCCCAACTGTGGATGGACAGCGTGATGGGGGCGGGGGGAGGCGGGTAAGGCAAGTAGGAATCTACCCTAATAATCCTATATCGTTCCCTGTCCCAAGATGTTTAATCCGGCTTTGTGAGAAAGCGTATTGCATTTTTGGATGCCAGCACTTTTTGAAGTCAGCAAAATGTGGAGTATGAGAACAGTTTGAGTCTAGAGAATTGGGGTCCTTGAGGGCAGAGGAACTCAGTGTCCAAGAGGAGTGGTCATTCCTTAAGGAAACGATACTCAGGGCCCAAGGGGTGTCCATCCTGACAAGAAGCAAGGGGGGCAGGAGTGTCCGAAAGCCCCCCTGGCTCACCAAGGGCGTCCGGGACTGCCTGCTTGCCAAAAAGGCGGCGTACGCCCGGTGGAAGGGGGGTGAAATCTCCGAAGAGGAGTATACCTCCTCTGCTCGGGCCCGTAGGCGAGCTGTTAGGAAGGCCAAGGCGGACATAGAGCTCGGATTAGCGTCCAAGATTAAGGATAACAAAAAGTCCTTTTTCAAATATATTGGGAGGATGAAGAAGGCGCCGGGTAATGTGGGACCCCTGCAGGATACGCTGGGCAATCTGGTGGTTGCGTCAGAGGAGAAAGCGGACCTCTTTAACCAATTCTTCACCTCCGTTTTCTTGTGC